TTTTCATTTTAACCATCACTTCGACTGCATAATGTCTGACACAAGTCTGGTTAAAGTGATTAGTTTTATGTCTACGTGTAAGAGAAAGAGAGAAAGAATCCAGTAACCCCAAATCGCTTAATAGCTGAGACTTCTTGCAAAGAGTTCATTTAATTTCATTGAGTCTTAATTGTATAATTACTGATAACTTTGATAACAAAGTAAAAACTACTTATACACAAAGTAAGTGACGTTGTCGATTGCACTATAAATATGATTTATAGGAGGTCCCATCAACACCAGTGGATGTGTGATGTAGCTGCGATACTTATGCTGAAGAGACTCATAAAAGGTCGACACTTTGGTTCATTGTGAATGAGGATAAACCTTTTGAGGGTGAGACCATGTGAGATTAAATAGCATCATGAGCTCTATTCATATACTTGTGTGAATGCTCAATTAAATATCTTTAAAACACCTTAACACACAGTGACTAATTCAGCTCATTAAGGTATGGATATTAAGTTTAGTCATCTTATTTCGTTTAAGGAAATATTGTAGTGATAACTAAATTTTCCCATAATTATATCAATTGGCCTTACGCCCCCATTAAATTTCACATAGTCTCGTTTCCCAAAATGTATTCTCATCCAAGCGGGACTGCAATTATCTGTGAACCATGAGCACTTGTGGCAGTATGGTGTAATGGGTAATGTGTCGAGATTATACGCTGCGCCAACACAAGCCTAGTTACAGTCGTGCTATGGGCGAAATCGAAACTAAAGTCCACCTCTATCCGGATGATAACTTTTGTGAAACAAGGTTATGTGAAATGCAATGAAAGTATATGACCTACTCAGATAATTATGAAAAAAATTATACTACCAGTCTTTAATTTCTTTAAACGGAATAGAGGGAATGCATCCCAAATGTATATATATATATATATAGATGCTACTGAAAACAAAATGAGTAACGTTGTTTTGTAAACACAAGTAAATAATGGTAGCTGAAAATTGTACTCGACTGGTTTACGTATTGAAGTGCCAGCGACTTTGGCCATGATAAAGTGAAGAGAATTCCTTATTTTCGCACCTTGAACTTCGAATTTCACTTTGCCACGAATTTCCAAAAAGCCGTTTCCCTATCTGGTCTATACCGCCTCATTGTCCCACAAACACGTCAGGGCGGGATTCGGAGGTCAAAACTAGAGTTCGGTCCGAGAGGGTGTGAGTGATCTTCTGAGGTGCACGTCATAGGAAAAATCTGGACTTCTGTTCACTTTCTCGTGGACGGACTCGTCATCTAAATTCATTAGCAATATGGATTTTGGTATTGGTAGCCTTCGAGACAATCAGTTATTCTTGAATAGGAATTTAGCCTAGATTATTTAAGGTGCCCATTTTAGAGTAACATTAATTTAGGATAAAATGGTTGGTCATTCTGGTTTGCTTAGGGCGCGCTATGGACGGATAGTGGAGTTTTCCCATAATAAAATGAGTCGGCTTCAGGATTCCAGTTAATTCCCAAAGGATTACCTCACCACGTCTGAACTGCAGCTCCGACCTGGTTCTCCCATCTCTCACCAGCCCCACCAACGGGACTCGAACCGGATAGCGGGCAACACGACGAACGTTGACAGTGTCTCCTTCAAGGTCCGACAAGCCCCGCTTAATTCACATTTTATTAGAGGGGGATATTACTTATTGTCGATATGAGTAGGTTTCGAAGTCATCAATAATTCTTGAATAGGAATTTTATCAGCCTAGGTCGGTTAAGGTGAGTTACAGACTGATAATGGGATTTTTCCTACAATGATATGAGTAGGCCTCACGATGTTATTGAATTTCCCCTAGCCTTACCTCTGGAGTGAATCCCTTTGGGAATGCTAATGAGATTCATGCGAGGTAGGAGCAGTAGTCAGCCCTAGGCGAGAAAACGATTTGGGAGTGAACTTCAAGGGTGTCGTGAGGCCGACTCATTTCATTGTGGGAAAACTTCATCTACAGTCCTCAGCTCACCTCAAACGACCTAGGCTGACTAAGTTGAGACTCTTTATCTGTCAAATAGAAAATCCAGTCGTGGCTGGGACACCTCTACAATAGCTATTTTATTTAATTCTTTATTTGCCAGTTAAAGACATACTGTAGTGTATGTACATAAGTGCCTTTTTTTTCAATTATATAATTCATCATATGCTTCTTCCATAAAACAGTTTAGTGCAGGCTTCGTCACGAGTAGGCAGAGGCAGCTGGATACCTTTTTTGTCAATCGAGACCCCGAGATTTCCAACGAATCCCAGGCAAAAGTCCGACTCCACGAGACGATGCTCAATTTCTATCATGTGTCCTTAACAATGACATGTCTACTTTTTCCTTGTTCCAGCTTCCGGCAATGACCCCCAGTGCAGAATGGTTGGCAGATTCCGTTTGAGGCGGGGTCTTTAAAGTCACCACCGGAGCCTCGGTCCCGAGAGTCGGTCACTCCACAAGTAGAGACCGACCCCATGAGCACATGTCAACTTGACAGGCTACAAATCGGCACAGTCTACGCCATAGAGACAGCGACAAACTGACTCGCGCAACGGGCCAGCTGACCCAGTGGACACAGGACTCAACATGTGTGCGGTGCCATGTCGACAAAGGTCAGCAGAACAACGATAGGATAGGCGTACTCTCGACGCTGGTTCGCGCCCGGCTTGTCGTGTACCTGGGCCGTGGTATCATTTGCTGCTATCGCGGCCTGGAAACCAGTGAAACACACACCCAACACACAAGGCCAGGCACCAAGAGACGAACAGACAACCGGTAGACCAGGCGACAAACTGAACTACCGACCAGACTGGCGTGTGCACACACGACGGAAGACACGAAGGGATCATCTTCCGACCAATCCGGAACCTGGTTGAGCTGGTTGAGCCCCCGAGGCTCAAGACAAGGCAACAACAGTTGCAAGTCGACTGACGACGGTAGCATGTCTGAGGCTGCAGCAGACGCCCAAAAGTGACGTAGACCCAACTGTCAAAAGAGGCCACGATAAGTCGTCAAATCAGGCAGCCTGAAGGCTTGTGCATCCACGGTGATATCATTTCAAGAGTTGCCATGGCATCAAGAGTCAAACCTTTCTCGTCAAGAAGTGGCTGTGTCGATTTGGCCAGGTTGGTCGGAGAAGTGGACACACGCATGTGCTCAATGGTATGGGTAATCTTAGAACCTCATGTTTCGTGTCCTCGTGTCCGTCTCGTGCCAGTGCAGCCGGTAGAACCTGAGTTCGGTTAATCTAATGATAGTTCATAATTTGTTTGCAGGTGATTTTCGAGACTACCAATATATCATATACATGCGATTTATTTATCTTACTCCGTTTTTTAGTGATAAGAGGACGACTGGTAATTGAATTTTCCCACAATCATATGAGCAGACCTTCGGTTTCCATTGGTACCCTGGATGATAGTTCTTTTTAGGAAAGCAAGACAATGTGAAAATGAATGGAACCGTAAGGTCTACTCATATAACTGTGTAAAAATGTAGACAAAAACTCCCCTTATTGTTTTAAACGAAATAGGATAAACATACTTGGCTGGTCGGTCTCGAGTTCGAGCCCATTCGGAGGTTTGAATGAGGTTTAAACCAGACAGCAGCGGTGCTTCAGACTGGTGGGAGAGAATCGGGGAATCGCCGGTCAAAAATATGATCTATTTCGTTTAGGTTGATGACGATCTGGCGGTTGCATTTTTCAACAACAGTTTGGTATTCTCATCCAGGCTGGACTGCACGCTCGACCTTACCGGAACTGGTTTCACCAGTACTCCCAGCCGGATTCAAACCAGGATAGTGCAAAGTATAGTCTTAATACGTTTTTTAGTCTTAAAACCTACTTATATACGTAAAATATATGGCTTACATGAAGTAGAGCCGAGTTTACAGAATATCTTAAGAATTTTGTGTGACTTTAATGTTGGAAGGTATTCGTAAATTGGTCCTACCAGAAACCGAAGAGTATGAATGTGTCGTTTATGACTCTGTTGAATTGTGCTGGGATTTAGTAGTTCTGATAGATATAGTCAAAGCGATTTTCCGTAGTTTAGGCAAGACCGCGCCAATATATAATACCAAAATAATGGTAGCTGGTAAGAACCCCCCTCACTTTTCATACCTAATTTTATTATCTTTAAAAAACATGACATGATTTGGTTGGCTACTTCATGCTTGAAGGTAAGTGAACTAGATTCATGGAAAATTGTGTGGATATGGTTACAGCAGTTTCCTTACATCACTAAACAAGACTTTAATTACGTAATGTTGACGCACGTTTAGGTTCGATATTGTGAATTGTTTGTATGAAATGCTCAAGCCATTTGAAGCCTATACAACAGCAATAGTTCCCACTCAATTTCCCATACTTTTGTGTATTTCTATAGACACCCTAATCTTAATCTTACTTGTGAAGTCCCCGAAGCTATCAAAGTTATGTGATTTGATCATTCTCTAATGTATGTTGTATTAAGTAATATGTTCAGCCAGCTCATATATTTTGACCCATAAACGTTCACTGATGATTGTGTTTAGATGCGTATTAAAGACTCATACGGATTTTCTTCTTGATTATTTTTCTCATCATACATATAGAGCTTAATTAGGATTTATGAAGTTGGTAAATTGTAGGATAGAGCACTTTAGAATAATAATACACTAGAATTAAAAGAATACTGATCTTCAATATTGACAAAGAAAACGAGGGCAAATTGGTAAATAGGGCAAAACAGGCAGGCAGTGCACACCTTTCGGAACATGAAGTCGCCTTCCTGTCAACTTTAGAAAAATTAAGGGAACTACCGAGTATGTGAAACAAAAGAACAATTTATAAACTAACATTTTTCTCAGTCATGCCTTCTTTTCGATTATTTTTATATTCTTTTTTAGATCAGAATATTACAAGATTTTGTGTTCTTGTGGTAATGTTTACATGGGTTTGGAAAGCCAACCCAATTTTGAAGGATTAACTGACCACAAAACAACCTGTAAAGGAAAATAGGTTCAAAAATCGCAAGTGGCTAACATACATGATTAATATATGAGGTTCATTCACCCTATTTCGTCAAGGTGATAAGGGAAAGTGTTAGTAGAATTTTCCCACAATCATATGAGTGAGTTTTACGTTTCCAATGAATTTCATATAGTCTTGCTTTCCAAAAAAGGTATCTTTATCCGGGTAGGAGCGGATTGCAAGTTCGACCTCGCCTAGGCTTTCATTTAAATGATCTATCGGAAGCCTCAAAAGCCTGCTTATACACGAAAAAATAAGTAATGTAGTCGATTGCTATCGCAAATATAATTTTGCTTCATCGACAATCCCACCAAAGAATGCGATATAAGAAAAAACCTAGTCTTCCTTGAAATTCACATCTGCCCTATGACCCAAGGACACTCGTGGTAGTTTGGCTTAGTGTTTGACGTTGAACAATCATGCTGTGAGTCCCGCTGGGGGGCTAATGAGCCATACGCGAGGGTGAAACTGCAGTTTAACTCTGTCTGGATAAGAATACATCTTGGGAAACAAGGCTATGTGAAGTTCACCTCAAATAAAATAGAGTGAATATGCCTCATATATATGATTTATTGTTTGACTCGAAAGCCTAGTTATAAACAAAAATACTTGACTAACACAGTAGAATTGTCTACGGGTACTTTGTATGCAAGCAAGAGGTTAGAATTCACAAAAGTCAACATGAAAACAAACATTGCGACTAGAGCGAACAGTTGTAAAAATTAAGTAGCGACTACTTATTGCTGTTGGATATGATATGGAATAGGAAGAGATAAAAAGAAATGGAAATGTCACATAAGGAAAGAGACTTGATAGACTTCGATTTCCATATACCATTCTCATGAGCATTGTATGCGCAGAACAAATTTGGAATGGTGCGCAGTTTCATGCATAAGCATTGCAGACTCAAAATTACAGTTGATACAAGAAAAGAGTCAGCTGTTTGGTCTCAATTGCATACATTTCAAGCAGCATCCATGACCAATTCACTTTCTAATAGCATATAGGGAAAAAATATATATCATCCAACAAATCATGAAAAAGTAAAACTCTATTT